CTCTCTCTCTCTCTCTCTCTCTCTCTCTGCCCCTCCCCCACTCCATCTCCCCCCAACCTCAAAAATAAATAAACATTACAATATTTGTTTAATTAAAAAATAATAAAGAAATGTTAAAAAAAATTAAAGGAAAAAAGTTTTTCCCTGAGTTATCACTTTAGCTCTTGTTTGTAACAAAAGTCTATGCCCATGACAGTCTGGTCACTGACGTTCCCAGTGATTACCCTTGAGGTTGCAGAAAAATTGGCCCCAAGTACACTGCCAGTTTGTATTATTCTTGCCAAGAGAAGAGAGTAAGCATCCCACAGACAAAGTGCTCCATACACTGGTTTGGGAACTCTCACCTCTGGAACCCCTAAGTAGAGTTTATGCTGTACAGAAAAGGAGGCATGAAAAGTTTCCACTAGGCCTGTGTAGTTTTTAAAGTCACTAGGAACGAGCCAGGTGGGAAAAGGTTTTATCCTCATTCTTATCTGTATATACGATTTTGTGGCATTATACAATTCCGTCATGAAACGAATTCAAATAACCATTTAATATGCGTGTGTTCAGTTCTGAGATACCTTAGAAAATAGTATCCCATGGACCAAAGGTAGGCACAATTTTCTGCAAAGAGCCTAATTGGAAATATTTTAGGCTTTGTAGGCCATACAGTCTCTGTCCCAACTACTCAACTCCACCCTAAAAGCAGACAGACAGTACAGAGACAAATAAGCCTGGCTGTGTTCCAATAAAACTTTACAGTAGCCCCCCTTTATCCATGGGGGCTATGTTCTAGCCCTGGACCCTGCCGTGCCTGAAGCTACACATAGTCCCAAACCCTATATATACTATGTTTTTCCCTATCCATACATACCTATGAAAAGTACAATTTATAGGGGCACCTGAGTGGCTCAACCATCTGGCTCTTGATTTCAGCTCAGGTCACGATCTTACGGATTGTGAGTTCGAGCCCCATGTCAGGCTCTGTGCTGACAGCATGGAGCCTACTTGGGATTCTCTCTCTCTCTCTCTCTCTCTCTCTGCTTCCCCTCTGCCTGCTCTCTCTCTCTCTCTCTCTCTCAAAATAAGTACAAATAAACTTTAAAAAAGTATAAATTAGGCACAGTAAAATATTAACAATAACTAATAATAAAATAGGATAATTGTAACAACATACTGTAATAAAACTTATGTGAATACGGTCTATCTCAAAATATGCTGTTGTACTGTACTCACCCCTTTTTGTGGTGACATGAAATGACAAAATGCCTGTGTGATGAAATAGAGTGAGGTAAATGATGTAGGTATTCTGATGTACCGTTAGAAGATACGTCAGGAGGACCATCTGCTTCTGAACCACAGTTGATCTCGGGCAACTGAAGCTGCAGAAAGCGAAATAATGATAAGAGGGAATTGCTGTGTTTGCAAAAACAGACGGTGGGACAGATTTGTCCAGTGCACCATAATTTGCCAACTCCTGCTTTGGACCAACAGCCTTCAATTTTTTTTAACGGCTCCTTGGGGCAGTCTTTGGCACCTCAGGGAAGGCCATGCAGGCAGGGACCTGGACTACTCCTGCTTCAACTGGAGCAGTTATTATTTTTATGAGAAGTACACTTTTGCATGGAATTAAGTTTGATGAAAAAGTTTCATTTCTAGGAGTGCCTGGGTGGCTCAGTCAGTTGAGAGCCCAACTCTTGATTTCAACTCAGGTCATAAGCTCATGGTTTGTGACATGGAGTCCCACGTTGGGCTTTGTGCGGACAGCAGAGCTTGCTTGGGATTCTCTCCCTCGCTCTCTCTCTCTCTGCCCCTCCACCCCTATCAAAATGGATAAACTTAAAAAAAAATAAGTTTCAGTTCTAATAAGGAGAAAAGCCTTAAAACTACTGCCTTGTACTAGACCTAAAATCTGCTGCTTTAAAACTTTAGATGATTCAGCCAAAACATCTCTTAAAATTATGACACGTGGGGCTGGGGGGGGGGGAGGGGAGGGGCTTGGCTGGCTCAGTTGGTGGAGGGTGTGACTCTTGATCTCAAGGTGGTGAGTTGGAGCCCCCAGCTGGGTGTAGAAATTGCTTCAAATCTTATAAAAATATTGTGACATGCAGTACACATGTGTTTTCGTGTTACCAGAAATTCACTTTCTCACATAACTGATAAAAAGCATTTAAACCGACAACTTTAATACCTCTAAGAATGTTATCACCTAATCATTTCTCCACTCTTGACTTTTTCTAAGTATAATGTTAAGGTACCTTAAAAGGTCCGAGAGAGAGAGAAAAAGAAGGTCCAAGAGAGGTGATATGGTAATATAGTGTGGTGAAAAAAGATACCAAATTAGGAATCCATATTTGGATCCATTGCTAGATTGTGAGCTCCTGGAAGACAGGAACTAAATTGTCATCTTTTTTTTTTTTTTTTTTAAGTAATCTCTGCACCCAAGGTGGCGCTCAAAGTCATGACCCCGAGATCAAGAGCCACATGCTCTACCGACAGAGCCAACCAGGCACCCCAACGCCAAACTTAATTTTTAAGGCAAACATAAATTCACTATTAGATGACTAGGAAGAGAATAAATTCAGGTAGTTTATTTACTTTTATCTTTCCAAACTCCATAAGGAAAAAAGCGTATCTTTCCTAGTGAGCAACAAAAGAAAAAGTATTCGGAGATACAGTTTTCTATCTGGGAAATTAACGTGTTTAAAACACATAAAAGCTAATAATTACTAGATCGTGACAAAAGTCACATCCTCACAAGGACCCAGAAATCCCTTGTCTGCAATTCTGAAATCCAAAAAGCTCAGGAAACTAAAAATTTTGTTTTGTAGTTTTAGTAACTTATTTGATAGTCTAATTGATCTAACCTAAACTTACTTGGCCGTAGTATCTGACCTGAACTGAATGAGGCTATTTACTGGTATTCCTTTACCCCGTATCAATAATCATGTGGCTTGCGGCAAAAAATATTACCGTATTTGAATATGCAGTGTTTCCCCCGAACTCCCTGGGACGTTACAGAAGTGACAGTGTATGGCATTCGGTTTTACTCAAGTAAGGCAGGCAACGCCAGGTCTTTTCCTGGTTGCATTACAAACAGAAATTTAGAGCCCCATTCTAGCCTCTAAGGGCATGCACCCAGACCCAATTCGGTCTTTCCCGGGTGCCATCTTGAGCAGTGAGCTGAGCCTGTGCTAACAGGTCTGAGAGCCTTCCTGTCGTGACATCAATGGGAAACAAATGTGTTTCAGCGCTCTTAGAGAAGAAAGTCAATGTTTTCACTTTGGTGGTCAATGACCCGTTAAGAAAGACCACCTTGGTCTGTGAAAAAATACTTTTCTATTTTCATCGCTGGACATTGAGCAATCGAGGGTCAGAATGGAGCTACTAGCTCTTAGCTTTGCAACGGTCTCTGTTCAATACATATTTACCACTTGACTGATGCACACCTTGGCCAGTCTGTAAGAATTTCTCTCACGTTAAGTGTGGGTGGCAACAAATATTCGGAGAGAAAGAGTAACTGGAGGCCTTACGTCGGCGCAGCTCCAGCAACAAATCCATCATTACTCCATGAAACTGGCACACTCCCCAAGTAGCTCTCATGGACCCCACCCTCTGGCCGGCAGGGTCGTATCTAGGGATCTCAATTAGAAATCTTGTAGTACCTAGGGCAGGTTATTTCCGAAACGCTAGAGGTGATGGACTTGCCTATGTCCTAGAGGTGGTGGGATATCCTGGGCTTGGATACCTTAAGACGACGTAAATGCTGATGACACAATGCCAGCGTCTCCCGACAGCACTTCCTCACAAGGGAAAAAAAAGGACTCAACACCACCCCTCTGAAGATGCCCGTCTTTGCATCTGCCGAGTTAGGGGACGAGTTGATCTGTACGACCCCACCCACGTCGGGCGCTCTCCCTCAGAACCGAGGCACCACGCCGCCCCTGCGCAGGTTCTCGGCTCCTCCCTTCAGAAGACTCTTCTCCGCCCCCCTCCGCTACTTCCGGCCCTCGCCGAACGCGCTCAACGCGCTTGCGCCGTTTTGATAGGCCTCTCGGGTGGAAGAAATCTGAGCGCCGCCGCTCTGGAACCGCCCCCGCCTTCTCTTCGCCCCGCCCACGCTTTCACCGGCCCCTCCCGAAATCTCGCGAGGTTAGGTGCGCGTCCGTATTTTGCGGGCAACTGGCTCTCCCAGCTGCTGTAATTGCTGCTGCGGGAGAAATTGGAGCTGCTGTCGTCGGCGAGCCCGCCCTCCCCCACAGAGAGCCACCGCCTCTTCTCTCGCTCTCCTTGTACACCTATCGCCGGGAGCGGCGGCAGCAATAGTCCCTGGACCCACCGCCGCCTACTCAGGCTGCCGCTCGGCCGGTCATCCTCGCAGCCCGGCAGCTGACGGCGGCCCCTTGCCCCTCACCGGCTCCTCACTCTAGATAGTCCGCTCCGTCCCTGTCCTCGCCCGGGACCCACCTCCCCACGGTCTCGCCGGGGTGGAGGACGACGAGGAGGAGACGAAAGTCACCCTCCCTCCAGGCGGCGTCGGCCCCCTCACCCGCGGGTGTGTCCTATAAATGGCGTCGGAAAGCGACACCGAGGAATTCTTTGATGCCCCCGAAGATGTGCACCTAGGGGGCGGCGACCCTGTGGGGTAAGTCACTGGAGCTACGGCCCAGAAGCCGGGCGCTCCAGTCCCCCGGCTTCCCCCGTGCCTCCCCACCGCACCCCTCCCGGGTCCCGCTGTGTCCGCCACCGCTGCTCCTCGGTGTCTCGCTCGGGCACTTCAGAGGGACTCGGGGGAGGGGGAATCGCCCACCTCGGCCAAACCCCCTCCATTCCCTGGGCGAGCGGTCCCTGGGGCTACGGAGCCCCTTTCTCGTCTCGTCCGGCTTTCTTCGAGGTGGGACAGTTTACGTGCCCGAGAGCCGGCGATCTGTATTGGTGGGGTTCCGCGCTTTACCTTTGAAACATCCGTTTTGGCCTTGGGGACCACAGATTAAAGGAGAAATTGCATTTCTCGTTTGTTTTTTTCTGGTGCCGCTAACTTGCCTGTTCGTTTCAGAGGTGGCCGTAACTGTTCGCCGTCCTCTTTTCGTTGCCCAGAAAGAGAAGGAGCGGGGGGAAGGCTGGGTATTTACTTCGGGGAGTCCTCTAGCTGATGTACTCTAGATCAACAGTGTTTTATTAAAATAGCACCTTACGGCGAGGCAAAGGAAATCGAAGACGAGGTCCTTCCCATTCGGGAGAACGCTGTCTTAAAAGGGGAGCCGGACGCAATTGTACACAACCGGCTACAGAGATACAAACAAGTGCTGAGTAATCTGGTGGTTGGAAGGAGAGCCACAGCTTTGTGTTATTTATCTAATTCTGCAAGATGTTTTAGTGATGATTAGTATGGGAGATTCTGAGTAAGGAAGTGCAGTAGTTGGAATGCTCCGCTTGCCTGGGACTTGTTCTTACCCACTCCTCCTCTTCTCAAAGTTGAAACGGGATTTAAAGCTATTTCGCCGAACTCTTCTGCGGGCTTGTGTGGAAGTAGAGGCAGGGAAATATATTTTCGTGCTGTAAGAACTTGAGAATTGGTGAACTTCGTATGTTAGTGTAAGTAGACGCTGTATGGTTACAGGCGTTGATCTGCCTTCAATTCTCAAGCTTACCCCCATGGAAGAAATACCATGTTTGCTGCAAATCAAGTTATTTGTACTTTCTAGAAGACATTCGAAAGCCTAATATATATTATATATGATATATACCCAAAGAGTTACAGCACGAAAATCAGAAATGTTCATTGGTAGGTCGCAGATGTGTTTCCACCAACCTTCCTATCACTATTAAAAGATTTTTGGGTGGCAGCGGCCAATCTTGAGATGGCACGGAGTCTCCTTCAAGTTCAGTATCTGAAACAGGCTCATCGCTAGACAGTGGAGGATTGAAAATACTTTTGGATTTCCAAATACATTGGATACCCTCAAAATTCTGTTTTTGTGCTTTTCCCCTCAAAGTAAGGAACTGTTGATTTAGGTTAAATGGCAGACCTTTTGAATGTGTGTGGAGTGGGGGGAGGAAATAACAATCTATGTATATGATTGTAATCAATTTAGAAATATGTGAGTATTGTTTCTTTTCAATGAACGAAACATTCATTTAATTTTGAAGGACAGTTATATCAGGAGTGTATATTATCTAGCTTAGTACCTGGCACAGAGGAAGAACTCAAATGTCCATTCCCTTCTCCTTCCTTTCTTGGAGTTAACAAATTTAACTTCACACGGTGCTTACTTTGGGAGGAAGTATGCAGAACTTGGAGCTATTTAACTTATTTGAACCCAGTGAGTCATCTTGATAGAATTAATAGAATCACTTCTTGCCTCTTGGGATAATAGAGCTTCTCAAGCACTTTGATCCTTCTGTAGTAGGTGAAAAGTAAAAACGTCTTTTGGGATCCACCCTTCTAATTTTGACTCTATAACCTGTCCAAATATTCAACGTGTTGAGCTGTATGGATAAAACTATGGTGTCAGTCTGTGAATTTCACGGTTTCATTCTGTATTCGTGGGGGAAATTTGGAAGAGAATTAGACTCATCTGGAGAATTGAATCTGAAAAGAACTAGCAGTACTGGGAGGACTGAAAAAGGTTGGCATCATTAACATTTCCTCTATCCTTTGTGACAGGTTTTGTCTTTTGCATAACGTACTGTGAAGAGATTTGGCCGGGTAACTAACAACCTAGAAATGCAGTGAGAAATCTTGATTTGTGGAAACAGATGGTGTCACTGGATATCTGGTTATCAGAAATGCCTTCTGTCCCTTGATAGGAATTGGAGTGGCACACCGTGCAAACTCTAAGAGGTTAACAGACTGAGTTTGCAAACTAAGAAATGTTCCTTGCTGTTGGGTGTGCCACAGTACACAGACCATTTCGTGAAATTTAGTGAACTGATTAGGCAGTCGAGAGTTATCTCATATGTTTTGTTAATCAGAATCCAAATACACAGTCCGTTTCCTAAAATTGATTTATTTCTTCTGTTCCCCTCCAGTGGTATCTTCAACTTTGTTGTCCTAGTCTTGGAAAGCAAATTTAGTAAGTTAAAAATCAGCCCTGCTTTTTAATAGACAGACTTCATTCTAGTCCAGCCTACTTTTCCACAGTGGCAGATCATCTCCGCTTGCCCAGCTTTGCAATATGCACCACATTTGTAAAGCTTTCTTTTGAGTAATATTTTAGCTCAGATTTCCTTGTTCTCTCCGTTTTTATATATGAGGAACCTTAGGCTTCAGAGAGGTTAATGAATTGACCTATGAGACACACAGCTTTGTAAGTGACAGCTAGGATTTGAAGCCAGTTCTTCAGACTCCTAGTCCAGTATTTTTTTTTTTTTTTTTCGCAGTATATCATAGCTGCCTCACATTGTGTGTCTGTCTGTCTAGAGGCGGGGGTGGGGCAGGGATATCTTCTTCCAAGAGATTCTGGAGTAAATTGCTTTAGGACCAGCTTGCTAAATTGAACTGATGCATCTGTTTATTTAAAAAAAAAATTTTTTTTTAACGTTTATTTGTTTTTG